ATATATATATATATATATATTATACTACTATAATTTTGGTCCAATATTTACTTTCTTATGTGCATTCATGGTTGAAAAGTACTTCGATGTTTTACTTACAATACTATCACCTTTGGACGTCACGTGGCTAAATGCAGGCGTTGGTATTCTTTCAACGCAATCGAAGCGATAAATTTGACCATATAGTAACTTTAATTCTAAAAATTTAATAAATCCGTTTCCAATTAATAAACATTTTTTCTTGCCTATAAATATCTAAACTTACTTTGCATAATTCCCATCTTATGTCCTCTTTGTTCTAGACCTATATTTTTATTCACACACACATAAAGTAGAAAATTACTATGGATCTCAAGAATATGTTGCTTTTCTTAGCCCTCACTACTATTCCAAACCCTAAACGACAACAACAAAAATGCAACGGCATCAAGGGATTTCCCCATGATCAGTGCTCCGTTTATTGGTGATAATGGTGATCTATACCTACAATAATGTTATTGTTGGAAATGGCTTGTTAAGTCTATTAAAGGCCCATTTTGAGGTTCATTTCGGAAAGGGGTCCAATTGGATTTTGGAATGAGTTTCGATGGATTTGTGTTTTCCGTCGCAAGGAGATCGAAATCGAATATTTATACACTCAAAATGGATATTGGGTGAATGAGAAATTGATGTTCTAAGTATGTCACTTGGAATGATTAAGGTAGTTAGAAATTACAAAAATTCCACATTAGTTAGGAATAAAGCCTTGGTGGTGTTTATAAGTGATTGCACTTTGAAGCCTAAATAAACATGTATACCGAGCCTCTCTCACACGCAAGATTGAATTTGTGTTATAACAATTTCATTATTTTACTCTTGTAAAAGTTGTTATATTATTATTCTTTTTTGTATTATCCATATTATTGCTAACAGTTATCACATCAATAGTCCAAAACCTCACAACAATGGTGCTGAAAAAGGAAGGTCTAGGCCCCGATTGCTGGGCGACGGTCGTTGATCTGAAAATGGCATGCATATATGATGTTGTTCTTTTCTTTCTCAACGGTCATATTGGTTCTAAATGCTGCCAATCAATTGCCACCATCGGCCATAAGTGCTTCCCATCTATGGTCGCTTCCCTAGATGGTCTTCACGGTTGTTGTGGTGTGCAACAAGTGACGGGGCCACTGCAGGATGCAATTACACCGGCAACAAGTGACGGGGCCACCGCAGGATGCAATGTCCGGAGGGTCAGTGGGTTTCCTTTGGTAGCCAGCTGGCACCTCTGATGTAGAGAAAGCGAATGTTGAGCGCTCTTAGGACCCGTTTAGTTCACCGATTCGAGTTTTTAATTCGAATTGAGATGTGATTTTATGTGAGAGCTTTTTATTGTAGTAAAAAAATTAGATGTGACTGTTTCTGAGAGCTTTTTACTTTAGCAAAACTCGAATCGGTAAAATAAATGTGGCCTAAAAAATATGGTTGTTACGTTTTAACGGTTAGATCAATGAGCGTCTTGATCGGCTAGCAAAAATTAAGAACAATATTTAATTCAATAATGGGTTAGAAATTAGTATGTAGATATTACATGCGTGTATTTTTAGGGTCTTTGGATTTTGCCCAAGTTTGCTGACTTTGGTTTGTTTTTTCAATTTGTAGTCTTAATTTGGCTGTAACTTTCCATTTTATGTGGAATTAGCCTTTTATGTTTGAGAGTGGGTATGGAGGCTGTTTGGCTCGTGTACTAATATTTATTAAGGTTTAATATCATTATATATATATATATATATATAATCAGTTGTCTTTATCCTCTTTGGACTCACGGTATAGTTAATTTCTAGCTGAAAAATCATTATGTAAGGTTCTCGAATCTCAGTTTTTATTTATATATATATATATATATTTTCCTTTTAATGCTACTGAAATTGCTTGTATTAAACAATTTGAAAATGGTTTAACCGCTTAAACAAACGAGGAGGGAAGAAAAAGACATGAGTATGCACCACAAGAAATTTACAATTTTTCTATTTTTGCTCTGATTCCAATAATAATCACTGCACATGAACAAACTCTTAAGTTTTTTTTTTTTTTCCCACACACATATATATATATATATATATATTTATTTGAACTGGTGCAAGTAGACAACTCACATCAGAAAAAAATAGCTTCATCTCAAGCAAAATTATAAATAATTGCTCCTAGCAGAACCTCCAATATAAGCCGCTTAATTATTATTTTTTTAATATCTTTTGCCCCCCTTTTTTCTTTTTTGTAATGATCACAATTAGGTATGAATCTCCAAGCGAATTAATTAAAAATAGTAAAATTAAGGCATCACTAAGAAAATTTGAAGGATCACTAATGGCTTTAGAGAGGCTAATAATTAATGTAGTAACCGCTTTGGATTAAAAAGTCGCATCTAAATGCTATAGCAATATATATGTAACGTTGGATTTAACTGTACTCATTACGGTTTAATTTGGACATGTGCTTATAACTATATATGTAACTCCACAAATCAAATGAATTCCATCTGCCATATGGAATCGGATCGATGTCCTTCATCATATTAGATAATTAATGTGATTAGTGATTACTTAATATTGTAGAAACTCAAAAGTTAGAAGTAGTAATCAGCCAGTACTAATTATAGATAATTTTTTATTTCCTTTCATAAAATCTTCCTACATTCTATTATATCTTTACACTTATTCTTATTTCAAGATCAATAATGGTCTTTTTTTTGTTTCTTTTTTTTTTGTTTTTGTTTTTGTAAGTACTAGCAATTATAATGCATGCATGCAATATTTCAATTACTTATTATTTTTTTTGCTGCTAATATTTCAATTACTTAAATCACATGGCATAGGAGCCAGCTAAGGACCAAGATCAGCTGCCCTCGACCTGAGGGCTTCTTATAACCTTGTCCCAGCAAATCTTTTTTCCCCCTAAAATTTTCTATTTATAATATCTACATGAATATATTTTTTAAAATTTTAATTGCATTAAAGTGTACCAATAATTAAAATTTAAAACCCCAGATAAATTTACAACTATATTAAATGCATAATTTTTTTGGACTCCTAACTTGAAAGAAAGAATCAAACTCTATTACCGAGAAGAAAAGAAAATATTAGCAGATAATAAAGATAAATTATGAATTGCAACTTTGGTTGATTATGATTAATCAGTCAATGCTCTACTTAAAAAAATGCTTAATCATCATCAACCGGTATTATTATACACAGTCAGCGCTATAAGTGAAAGAAAAAAGAAAGAAAGAAAGAAAGAAAGCGATTTACGTTTCATCAGTAACGTTTGTGTTTCTTAATTACAAGCTATAGCCCCATCACCTTCCCCAAAACCCTTCGCATTTTCAGTTAATTAAATCATAATTAAGTGCACTAATTAATTAACCGGTCTTTCTTTTTTTTTTTTCCTCTGCCTCTTAATTCCCTCATCTTCACTTCCTTATAAATATCTCTCTCTTCACAGAAAACAAAGACATATATTCCTCATCTACGTATAACATTCTGCATTTACGTATAATATACAACCATGAATACTCTCAAAAGCACAGCTACATTTTTCTTCCTTGTTTTTCTCTCATGGCTTAGTATTCTAAACGACAACAACAACGTTGCAACAGCCTCAAGAGTAGTGTATTTCCCTGCAATGGAAAAAAACGACATTAACAGTATCGAAAGTATCAGCCTTAGGTCGAGGCTCGAGACGAGCGGAGGGCTGGTGGAGTGCTGGACGGCGCTGCTGGAGCTAAAGTCGTGCTCGAACGAGATCGTGCTCTTCTTCCTCGATGGCCAGGCCAGCATTGGCGGTGATTGCTGCCGCGCCATTGTCTTCATCACTCGTAGCTGCTGGCCCGCCATGCTCACTTCTCTAGGGTTTACCGTACAGGAAGGCGATTTTCTCCGCGGCTTCTGTGACGCCCTTGAGACTCACGCGCCGCCACCGCCGCTTGGCCCTTCTCCCGCTCCGCTTGCTGACCCCACGCCTGTGGCCGGTGATGATCTAGTCAAACTGCCCACTCTGTTGGATTAATTAGCGGATCAAAATGCTTAATATGTTGTGTCATTGCTACCGGGGTCTAGTAGGGTTTATGTTTTAGGGCCGGTTTTGGTTGTTTTTGATTTATTTTCTGGTTATTGCTAATTACTTTTCATGAAGATTAGTGGTAAGTTGGTTCCTTAATTTGGTGATGGTATTGAGGCTTGTTGTTGACGTAGGAAGTTTTTATTTTTATTTTTATTTTTTTTTTTACTGTGTGCCGTTTTGTTTTATTGGTTTCTGATTATGAAATGAAGTTTGAGTCTGAGTTCTGATTATGTTACAATTATTAATGATAACATAAAAGCTATAGTAGCTACTGTATAAAAAATTGTGTATGTATCTTTTCCTTTTATTTTTTTTTTCCTTCTTTTTGTTGTTGTGAGACGCTAGTTATAATGATCATGCAAAAGGGTCCTTCTAAGTTTTATATCACAAATGTATCATAATTTTTACAACTTTAACATTTAAAATTTGTAAGTATATAATTCAAATTCACAAATGTCACTGGCCTATTAGCTCAGTTGGTTAGAGCGTGGTGCTAATAACGCGAAGGTCGCAGGTTCGAGACCTGCATGGGCCATTTGGTTTTTTTCTATTCGTTTTTCGTTGTTGTTTTGTTTTGTTTTGCTTTGTTTTTTTGTTTTTGTTTTTGTTTTTTTTTTTTGTGTAACGCCGTGAGCAAACACCTGTGGGCTGACGATACAGGCTTTTAATTCAGCAGAGCATATTCTTAGTGGTAGAAAATTTTTGGGCTATTTAGGCTTACAGCAAAATTTCAATAGTAGAATTTAAATATAATAAAAATTTTAAAATATTATAAAAATAGTAAAATTTTTAAAATATTATAAGAATAGTAAAATTTTTAAAATATTATAAGAATAGTAAAATTTTAATATTATTAAGATAATGATTATATCATTATAGAGTATAAATTGTGATATCATTATAATAATGGGTATGTCATTTTTGTTATATTTGTAATATTTCAATAAATTTGCCATGTTGTGTAATTATTACAAAATTTTTTAGAGGAACGTCGTGAGCAAACACCTGTGGGCTGATGATGCAGGCCAAATTTGAGCCATCTTTAATTCAGCAGAGCATACTCTGGTGGTAGAACATTTTTTAGAGGCAAGAATTGAGAGAGAATGAAAGAAATAGCATTTCTTCAGACAAAAATACTGCATACCAATCAATATTTTAATCACATTTCTTGAAAACTTTGATTCCCTTCCAATGGGACTCCATCAAGTAGGAATCATCATTCTGTGCATACACCCCACACTTGAAGTAGTGAGAGGTCCCCCCACGTCCTGGTGCCTCGTACAGGAGAGCCCCATCAATGTAGACTTTCACAGTGGAGCCCTCGACATCGTGGACCACGTTGAGCCGGAACCACCGGTTGTAGATGTTCGGATCTAGAACCGGACTCTGGTAATACGTGAGAGAGTCGTTGTAGACTCTGAGCATTAGGGTTGTGGCGTGGCTAGGGCTTGCGCCAAACACTTGCATGATGCATACACCGGACGTCCCTCGTGGTACATATCCGTACCCTTCAAACTGCCAGACACCTGAAGAGTAGTCGTATCCCTGAGAGGTAGAGAAAGTTGAAATGGTTTATGACATTGTTAGTTTACCAATCAATCCTAAAAACTTAAGCTTTTAGGAGGTGGGTCAACAATAGTTTTATACTTTAACACTCCCCCTCAGGGCTGGACAATGGGCAATCGTGTGGATAAATTAATTAGAAAGCCCAACACGTGAATATTTAAACCCGAAATATATTAAAGATCCAACACATAATGACAATTTAAATGGGGATAAAGAGTGCAATTATAGGGGTTTAAACTCAGGACCTCCCACTCTGATACCATATTGGTTTACCAATTCATCCCAAAAGCACTTAAGCTTTTGAGATGGATTGGTAAACTAACATACATGATTAATTTTGTGTTCTTTTTTTCTTGTAATAAACCGCAAGAGGGAATAAAGGAAACTAGAATATCCCAATATCTCAATTAAGTCAGCACTTACTAGCAACCTCATCTTGTGCCAAATTAATTTCCCACTTGAAAATTACAAAAAAAAAAGGAATAAAAATAGTTGAAATTCAGGCAGTTAAAAATACTTGGTACTCCTAATTTTGTCACTTTACTATTGACAACCATTTTAACAAGTGATAGACTGATCATATTTTGCAATTATATGCTTAATTAGCTGCAATCGGAAGGCCACTATAGCAACAATTGCTACTATCATGTGCAACTTTCTCCTATGATAAGGCCTCAAAGACTTTAGGACTGTGTCTCTCTATTATTTATCGCATAAATATTACTACATAACCATTGAAAATTTTTGACAATTAATAAGATTAGATAGTTGACTAAAAAGGTTGATGATAATTAATAAAATTTAATTCTTATTACTACACGTCATCAAATTATTATATTTTATGATGATCATCGATGAAAAATTGTAACCATGGAAAACTCATTTATATATATATATATATATATTCAGTGAGAAGAAAATAGAAAGAAGAAAGAAAAAAAATTAGCGAAAAAATGTAGAGGTTTGAGATTGTTTACTCTAATAAGGATCTGTTCGAGGCTTAGTGGGACTGCCTTTGAACAAAGGATTATCTGTAGATTGGTGTGTGTATATATATATATATATATATATATATATTATGTGAATTCATACAAATAATATTAGTGTAGAAGGTCTAGTACAAGGCGTCTCTACTCTACGTCTATAAATATATTTTTTTGTAAGTTGATTGTAATTGTCCTCTTGGATTTGTCCATGCTATTAGATGCTTTATGCTATATTTTGTAGATAAAATACCCGTCTTGTTCTTTTAGAGTTTAACTTGAGTATAATTCTTGAGTTGAATTTGAGTTATAACTTGAGTTGAACTTGTAACTTGAGTTTGTGTTTGGTTATGTACATTTGAGTTATGGTTTGAGATAAGAATCTTTTTGAGTTTGTGTTTGAGTCAGTCAAAACTTGAATTTGTATTTAGATAGTATTTTAATAAAAACTCAATGCTGATGAAAAATTTTAATAGGGTATATGGGTCGGGTTTTATTCGTCTTTTCGTTGTCAACGCATAGAAAAAAAATCATCTCAATCAGAATTAAAACGAAAAAGTTATAGCATTTTTAAGAATAGAAAAAATACTTGTTCATTAATTTGAGTTCAAGTTTCTGAACTCGAGTTGAAGGGGAAACTTGAACTCGAGTTTTAGTCCTAAACTCGAGTTTGAACTTGAGTTTAAACTCGAGTTTAAACTTAAAAGAACATGAACTCAAATAAAGTTATAATTCAAGTTGACTTTTTTTGAGTTTTTTACTCAAAAGAACAAGCCCTAAATTTCTAACTCTCATTTTTCATCTTGAATTTTGAGACCCCATTATTAGAATTATATTAAAAAGAACATAAAAAGCGGGGGAGTTCAATGATGTCATGCAATTTTTTTCGTTTGTTTACAATATAAATTCGGAAAAAAAGAGATTAAGAGAGATATTTTGTCCTCTTTTTTGCCCTCTTTAATAGAAATTTTAATAAAAAAGGTTAAATGGAAATAATTAAAAATTTAAAAGACAAAATGAGGACTTTTAAGTTAGTAAGTAAAGTGAGAATAACCTAATACTCAGGAGTACATATCAAAATGATATTTTTTTAAAAAAGAAAAAAATTATTATTCCATACTGATGTATATTACTCGACGACTGCTTATTCATTAATGCATGTTTATTATGAACCGAATTTTCAAAAAAGGTATGTTACACACAAACATAAAACTTAGGCGTAGTTGTTTAGTGAGTACCAATCTGACATGGTGACGTGCTAAACTTCTCTCATATTGATTATTTTCTTTCCATCTAATTACATTACAAAAAAAAAAAAAAAGAAACTTTGGTTTTAATCTATATTCTTAAAAATTAGCATTTTTCTTCAAGTAATTTGGACAACATAATCAATAATCACTTACATGAATACGGATCTCAGTGCGAGGCCTAGTTTGGCTGGTAGGAGTGTGAGGTTTGTCAGAGGAGTAGACCCGCAATTTATGAATTCCATCAACAAACTTGTAACGTTGATCTTGAGGCACGTCGTAGGGCCATTGGATGATGAAATTTGATTGATTTAGTGGGAGAGAGATGAATCCTTCCGTGGGATCAATGGCCACCCAGCCAAGAGTTTTCTGTAAATAAGCAAGTTTTGTAAGGGTAAGTATGGCCAAGAACCTGGAAAGATAAAGAGAGAGTGTCATTTTTTTTGAAAGAGGAAATGGGGAGATTGTGTTTGGAAAAGTATGCTCACAAGAAATTAGGGAGAGCAAAGTAGTCTATTATATATAATTGTATGGCTGGTCTTACACTGCAAAATATATTCGAAAAACATCAGAGTGTAATCTGACATGGCCCCGTTCATTTCACCGATTCGAGTTTTGTTACAGTAAAAAGCTCTAAGAAACAATCACATCTAACTTTTTTACTACAGTAAAAAAAACTCACATAAAGTCACATCTTAATTCGAATTAAAAACTCAAATTAGTGAACTAAACGGGTCATTATTTTATGTTATGATCATTTTAAAAAAGTATGACACTTATGTTTACTTTTTAAAATCATCGCCAAATACTACTAATGGGTTAGCGCATACATGCAACGGTGAGGATGCTTTTCCTTCTTCTCCTCTTAGAATGTCCCGAATATTTGAATCGTTGCAACACATATATAGAAGGTTTGCCCGGCCGAAAGTTGTGCAACATTGGATCCCTGTTAGTTTGCCTGAAAATATACTCATCTTTTTAGTAGATGCGAAACGGGATGACACTAATTATTACTTATTCGCAATCATTTGATGATTGTATAGCCAACAATAAGCTATACTGCGCGATATGTAAATTCTTTAGCGTTACACTTTTTAAAATCTTCGTTAAGTAGAGCAAATATTATTGTTAACTCTTTACTTAGATGTTATATGTACGACCGATTCTTCACAAAGAACTGCCACCATTGCCTACAAATTATTTGGCCAACAGAGACATGAACTTGTAATCACTTTTATTCGAATGATTCCAAGTTAAGACGTCGTTAGGAAGTATGTCATGATCATAAACCTTAATTAACCTTAATTTTTTCTAATTATTGTCACGTTATAATACCTACTCTCAAACGTTATTATATATTCTGTAAAAAATAAGGTTGAAAATAAGGTTCACGAATCACGGGCTTCTAGTTTTGTCGGGCATTGTTAAGGTTAGCAGCAAATGTTGCTAGAAGAAACAATTAATTAGCAATTAGTTGGCTAATTTATTCCACGAAGAAAATAAGTACGAAAAGAAATGGACAATCAAGTGTATTCAACTATATATACAGATAGATATCCGAGACAGAATATTGCTATTAGATTATACATTTTCAACAGTACTAAAAGAAGTAATAGGATTCCCTAGACAATTGTATGGTGCAGATTAAAATTCCAAAGAACAAGACAAACCGTAACTTAAATGCATTAAGACTAGTACTACCAATTAAATCACGAGTAGGTGAAATCTACATTAGAAATATAACTCGATCAATATTCTCTTGCTGACAGCTTGATGCCCATATAAATATATATATATATATATATTTGAGTTTTCAATAATTAATTTTATTAATGGTTATCATTAAATATAAAAATTTAATGATATGGTGTGATAATAATCTCATTAATTAACGTAAACTTTTTTAAATAACTATCTAATTTATTACGACTGTTAAATTAATATCACACGGTTAAAATAGAGTAACATGCAAAATGCAGAATTGAACCCACACTCACGAGAACCTTGTCCTTCACTACTCTATCCAATACCGTTTATCCTAATGGTCATTGGCTAGCGCCTATTTTTCATTGAACAATGAACAATCACCTTTTATTGAGTACTAATTAAAGAAATCATCTTGAATTATGAATCTTATAACACTTTATTTCTGAACTGTATTTGTAGCATCGGTCCTCTTAATCTATATCCTGTTAATAAATTTGTCTCTTTTGTTATTTTGAGTGACGGAAAGTACCACATAAATGGAAGGTATTATCGCAAAATACATTGTGAGAGTCTTTGTTGTCTTTTAGGTTACAGAAAGAGGAAAAAAACTAAAATAATTTATGCTTAAAGTTTGGGGGGTTTGGCTATGTAAAATTGGAGGAATCTACAGGAAACTAGAACTTTACCGAGAGGACACATTTGAGAAAGTAATATACGAAGTTCGAGCAAAACAAATCCAATAGCACTTTCATGAAAATTAGTTGCAACCGAGTTGTTAAAAAGATAAAGATAAACAGAGAAAAGAGCTAAACATAAATGAAGATGAATATAATCTCAACAAAGCAAATGTATGGGAACAACCATTAATATCCAGGGCAACAACTTTTCCACGGTCTAAATACCCCATTAAAAATCATATTTCATGACACGAAATTAGATTCCAACGTTCCAAACTTAATTTAATTATTTGATATCAGAATCAAAGGCATCAGAAGCATTCTACTGTGATAAAGAGTTCCCCACATCGATCACAAACCGGTACCTAACATCGGATTTAGCAAGCCTTTCGAAGGCGGTGTTAATCTCCTCCATTCGGATCAGCTCAATATCTGATGTAATGTTGTGCTTTGCACAAAAGTCTAGCATTTCCTGCGTCTCTTTCATTCCTCCGATGTCACTTCCTCCGACTAGTTTTCGCCCTGCCAGCACCACGTCGCGGGTGTTTTAAAAATCGAAGAAACAATGTACTAGTAAACCCCAAGTAAAGCTTTCTTTTCAGAACTTAATTGTATATGTGCCTGATTATTATAAGAGCCTGACATTTCAGTTGGTTCAGGTTCGCGTAAAACCGCTATTTCATGCTAGCATCATACATCAAGTTGTGAAGATAATCCGTGCATACGGCTTGCTAAGTAACGTGTGTTAAGAAAAAAAACTATAAAATTTAGGAAACAAGGTCCGAGGTGTTTAAGACAGATGAGGCTTACCCAAAACTAAAGGAAAAATAGTTATCTGCAGCGGTTTATTAGGCAAACCAACAGTGATCAGCTTCCCGTTCAGCTTCAGTAAAGCGATTAACGGGTCTAGCGGATGAACTGCAGACACTGTGTCAATGATGAAATCCATAGTGCCCAAAGCTGCCTGAATACAACAAAATATAGCAGATGTTGAAAACACTTGTCACTTTCAAAACCAAATTCTACACAGAATAGCAACATTGCAACAATACCTTGAAAACATTCAAGAAAAAGTGACAGGAAAAAACCATGATATATCATAGACTGCTTGTATTGTTCTCAGGATGCTTAGGGCGGCCAATTTGGTATTACTTAAGTCCTTTGTAGACAACACGATGCAAGTAGTGTGTTTGGTAAAAGTGTTCGAAAGTACTTTACAGAGTCTCTAATGCACTTTTCAAGTTATTTGGAGAAACTAGGATTTTTAACTTGCCAATATATATGCATTTTGATTTTATTCATTCTTTTGAAACTAATAATCGGTACCTTAATTTGTGCAGGGTCACTGGAAAGAAGGAAAGCATCAGCCCCAAGCCTATCAATTGCCTCAGCCTGCTTACCGGGGGAGCTACTAATGACAGTCACTTTCAATCCAAAGGCCTTTCCGAACTTCACAGCAACATGACCAAGTCCACCAAGGCCTGCTACGCCCAAATGCTTACCCGGTTCAGTCATTCCATAGTATTTCATCGGGCTGTACACAGTGATCCCGGCACACAGGAGTGGAGCACCCGAATCGAGGGGCAAGTTATCAGGAAACCGAAGCACATAGCGCTGGTCGACAACCACGATGTTGGAGTAACCACCATATGTTTTTGTCCCATCATGGTAACTGTCGTTATAGGTAAATATGCATTGAGGGCAGTAGTTCTCCAAGTCCTGTTGGCAAGTCTCGCATTTCTTGCAGGATCCCACTATGACCCCGACCCCGACATTGTTACCCTCTTTGAATTTCGTCACTTTTTTCCCAGTTTTGGTTACAATGCCAACCATTTCATGCCTGCCAAAGAGTGATAAAGAAAATCCATCAAGATATTCAGTTCATTCAAAAAATCAAGTCATTACACTAAACTCCACATGGAAGCTAAGAACACAAGAATGAATCTGCTCGTATTTTTCACAAGCTCACTTAAATTTACCTCATATCAAGGCAATCACAAATTTTATTTCAAGGAAGTAGTTTACTTTAGGTAAACTCTCAGTAATGCTAGACTAAGGGCCGTTCGGTTCATGTGTTCAAACCAGTGATTCTTGATTCTGGCATTTGAAATTCAAATTTTTTGTGAGAGGAAAACACTGTAACATAATCAAAACCATGTGTTTAAACGCATAAAACAAACGGGCCCTAAGAAATTAAGAGGGTTAATCTTACCGTTACCCTCCAAACTTTGGTGTCATTTCCAGTTTACACACCGAACTTTAAGAACTCTCACTTTGCCATCTGAAATTTGAATTAGTCTCACTAATCTCCCCTTTGTTAGAATTTTTGTTAAAATCAGACCAGAAAAAGGTGGGGGTTTAACTGTGGTAATGTGAATTTTTTTATTTTTATTTTAACATAAGTTCTAGTATAAAGATCACGTGATCGCATAACTTCCTTTTTTTCTGTTTTTTTAACTGAAATTTTTTAATAAAAAGATAAGAGAGATTAGTTTTAAAATTTAAGGGGTAAAGTGAGAGTTTTAAAAAGTTTAGGGGCTAACTGAGAATGATCTAAAAATTTAGAGGCATCAGTGAGAATAATTAAAATTATAATAAGAATTTCTTTGGTTTGAACAAAAGCTTGAACAAGAATTCAACTTTTTCTAGGAGAAAAAATATATATATAAATATTAAAAAGGTTTGAATTGTGGTTCAAAGTGCAAACCAAACAGGTCTAAGGGATAAGATTACCCGGGAACAACAGGGTATCTTGTGAACCCCCATTCATTCTTGCAACAATGCAGATCAGAATGGCAAACTCCACAGTAGAGGATTTTTATTGTGACATCTTCATCACCATTTTCCCTGTCAATAATATACAAAGGTTGAAGTCAACAATATAACCAAATTTCTTATTCATTCTCTCCAAGAATTAATACATCTCAAAATCCACAATTCATGATCTGGCTAGAGGCACATTGGAAGAGTGAATTACAGATCATTTCATTAGCCTTAACATAAAGTAATATAAAGGAAATGAACAAAATAAAAAATAAAAACACAAGAGCTCAAAAAAAAAAAAAAAACCCTGAAAAAGGTTATTTAAGAGGCGAATCCCAATTATAAGCCATGCAGATTTAATTGATTAATCAGAAAAAAAGCGAGAGAGAGGACTTTGAGACACTGCTTTAGCGGGCTTGAATTCATCAAGGACAAATTTAAAAATTAAAAAACAAAAAAAAAAGCTTTCTTCGATATAATATCCTTATCGGAGTTGAGTAGTCGAGCCACCTAATATTGGGTGGGTCACATTCTCTCACTCAATTTTTAAGTGGACGTTTGATTCATGGATTTAGAATCATGATTCAGAACTATTTTCGTTTTACGTGTGTTTTTTATGAGAGAAAAATACTATAGAAAACCATGAATCATGATTCAGAATCAGAGACAAATACAGAAAATAAACATCAAATTCACTTTTATCCAGATGTTTTTTTAGCTAAAATTTTAATTATACCACCTCCTTATTTAAAAAAAATAAATAAATATAGTGTGCCCCCACTGAATAATTAAAATGGACTTTCTCTAGTAGTTTCTATAAAAATGAATTACCAGTAGTCTCTTACTTTTCAGTGGTTAGATCTGTATCAAATTCTGTCTGTTATGCATACATTTTTTAATATGATGTGATTTTGATCAGATTTAACGATAAAAAACTGAGACTACTGAGACTACTGATAAGACGGACTACAAAAGAAACTCCTTAATTAAAATATATAACTATGTTCTATTATTCTAAAGAAAATTATCTCCAGTTTTTTTTCATAGTGCTCCTACTGAAATAAATTTTTTTGACTCTGACAATAATCAGCAATGCATTTTTCAGAACATTAAATCTAGTCATAGTCACTTTAAAATAAAGAAAGCACGCAAAAATGAAGAACTGATAAAGATGTTTAGAACAAATCCTACCACATCTTACTAAAGAATTCTCAAAACCATATTTAAAAAAGAAAAAGAAAAAGAAGTATAATATAAGCACAAAGACTGCGTTTTTCTCGTCGTTTTTTAGTCGATCTAAAAAGAACTATAAACAAAGCAATATAACAAAACGACCGACAAATGACATGTAAAGCCAAAACCCATCAGATAAATATCGTAGCAAAAACATTTTCACAGTTTATGAAATCATAAGCATCCAAATAATAGAAAAAAACAAAAACCCAGATGAGAGATCGTTGATCTTTTTGATCATATTGGAGTTTGCAAAAAAAAAAAAAAAAAAAAAAAAAAAAAAAAAAAAAGCAAGAAAAGACAGAGGAACAATATACACACACACACACACACACACATAATAATATACAAAGAAGAAAGGAAGTATAAGACAAAATTACCTCCTGGAAAATTGGAAAGGGGATAAGATCCCATGAGAATCTCTGGCAGCCCAGCCAAACGCCTTTTGTGGGTGTTCTTCTTCTGGTGATTTTGCCATTTCTTTTTTTTATTATTATTCTTTTTCTCACCTTTCTCACTTAGTGCGCACTAAGAAAGCCGCAAAGTTGCAAATTGTGTACTGAATAATCCCCGCTCTACCAGTCCAGTATATCTATGCATATATATATATATATATGTGTGTGTGTATATATGTGGGAGAGCAAGTGTGTACTGTGTGGGTAAAAATTTTAAAGAATAATAATAAAAAACGTAAGTTCCATCAAATCTGGATTTTTTTTTGGGGTGTCATTTATGTCTGTTGAGTTGTAATATGTTCACAAAATTTTGGCCTTGAACTGATTATTAGGAAACAGATTCTGCAAGGTTACAAGTTTCGATTTTTCAATCGTCTTGTCCACTGAAATTATCAAATTCTGAGAGCATCATTTTTTATATTAAGGTTCCGTTCATTTCACCGATTTAAATTTAGAATTTGAATTTTATTACAATAAAAAACTCTTAAAAACAGTTACATCTAATTTTTTTACTACAGTAAAACTCTCATATAAAATCAAATCTAAACTCAAATTAAAAAATCAAATCAGCAAACTAAACAGACTCTAAGACATATTTGGAAAATCTATTTTATATTTTTAAAAATATAAAAATTGTCATTGTATATCTTGGAAGGAAAAAAACCAAAAAAATCAATCCATATTATAAAAATATTATTTATGTCACTCTATTTAAAAATAAACAAATGTCATTTAATTAATAAGAATAAAATAAAATGCCACAATAGCATTTAATTATTATTTTTTTTGAGAAGCAAGAATTTAATTTTTTAAATCCCAAAGAATATAGTTTTCCAAATATATAATATATGCACATATATTGTCAGGGAGAGGGAGCTTCCCCAACCCTCGCCCTGCCTTCAACTCAAGGGCGGATACTTGGCCCCATGCCTGGCCCCGTTTAATAAATCATAGGTCTCGTTCGCTTTACGGATTTGAGTTTTCAATTCGAGTTAAAATGTGACATTTTTTAAAAGTTTTTAATTGTAAAAAAAAAATAGATGTGACATTTTTTAAGAGCTTTTAACTGTAAAAACATAAAACTGAAAACTCAAATCGGTAAAATGAACGAGGTTATAGCCACCTTATATGAAAGTTTAGAATGTGTAAATAAAGTTTACCTAATTAAGAATAACAAAAAGATTAATATATGGTGCATGTGTTCATAATTAAGATATTTTTTCGATTGTAGATGATCTGTTAAGGAGCTATAAGTGTGCTCTATCTTCATTATGCCTTTTTGGATATTTAATTTTAGAATTCGATACATGTTTATTTTCTTGAGCGTTTTATTTGAGCTTATGGGTAGTATCAATTGTTTATTGAGCTCGTATAATTTTCCTATTGTTTGAGACTATATAGGTTAAAACTACTGCATTTGTATTGTCTTGAAAAAAAAAAAAAAGTATAGCTATTAATATCAATCTACCACCTAAAAAGAACGAAAAAGAAAAAAAAGCTATTAATATCCCCATAATATCAATCTACCACCTAAAAAGAACGAAAAAGAAAAAAAAAAAGCTATTAATATCCCCAAAATATCAATCTACCCCCTAAAAAGAACGAAAAAGAAAAAAAAGCTATTAATATCCCCATAATATCAATCTACCACCTAAAAAGAACGAAAAAGAAAAAAAAAGCTATTAATATCCCTACTGGTGATAAGGAGACAAGAACAGTGGAGACGCACTGGTGCCCATAATATCCATTCAGAAAGCCACAAGACATTCAATGTGCTGATAAAGTTAGTTGAATCTGTCCCCATGAAAACCATAAATTTTTGGCACCAATTATTCAATGCTTATTGTTTGAAATTAAGATCTTCACGTCTTAAATTAGCCAAATGTATTGGCAACACAGTAGTTTTTTTTTTTTTTTTTTTTTTTTTGGGTTGACAAGACCATAATAGGATATAATATACGTCCCACACCGATGCAAAACTCATTTAATTGGCAACAACTAAATCAATTCTTAAATTTTATTAGATTTGGTTCATTAAATAACCTAAAAGGGAGGCTTGTTAAAACATAATTTTAGTAAGGGACTCTAGTTTTGTTAAAATAAAAAAAAATGTTACTTTTCTGAAAATTAGATAAATCAGTGATTAATTAAATCATTCATGATTGGTGTGCCTGTAGATTTTGTGAGTTTTGCTTATGTGTGTTTATTGAGAAAAAAAAACTAATATCAATCGTGATTAATCAAATATTAATTTGTGAATTAGAATCAATTTTTTTTTTTTTTTTGTGTGAATTCTCTATGTAAATTATTGATTTACTGAATATATTATTAGTTAATAACCAAAATCAATTTCTGAATTCTCTATTAAATTATTAAGTTAATTAATATATTATCAACTAATGATTTAGTATTTACTATTTGGTTATTGATTCAATATCTTTTTTTCCTTCTCTTTAAGAAAAAAGAAATAAGGGAGACAAAAGGAGAGGGAGAAAACAAAAAGAAGAAAATAATACACAATAGATGCAATGATATCTTTTAGTTTAGGTATCAATCTCATGTATGACATCTTTTCTTATTCGATACTCCGTATCAAGGTCCTTGCTTGATCAATAGATTGTGAAGCATTGGTCATGTAGTAGTTATGGAGGTGAAAACTAGACTAATCCTTTAAATAGAATTGATCAAGTCACTTCTGTTCTATTAGATACGAGCGCGGACACATATACGGGTGAGTTTTTAAATTACGTTTACATCGGTGGCTATCATTAATGTAAAAATTTGATGATGTGACGTTATAAGAATTTAATTTTATTACTTGTCATAATTTTTTTATTCAACTATCTAATTTATTATAACCGTCGGATCAATAGCTTACGGTTAAAATAACGAAAGAAAAAGATCTTTATAAAATACGGACTTTGAAAGGCCGGATGATCTCATACTATTGTAAAGAAAAAGCCTTTCTTAGAAATACAGAATTATAAAAGCTATACAGGCACTAAACTTTTTGTCATTCTTTCTTGGATGATGATTAATTGACTAGATAAGTTGAAAGAAAATGGTTGTCATTAGTTATAGAAGAAGAAAGAATTTGTAATTCCTTCTTTCATTTTTATTATTATCACCCTACTTATGTGCGCTCAATCAACAAGAATGAATGCCAACAAACAAACAGAAAAACAAGGAGATACAATTCTCAATCTTTCCCCGAAAATAGGGAAACTTAAGTGAGTTTCCCACAATCATAATTTGTAGCATTAAACAACTTGTGCAAAACAAATTTGTAAAATATGGAATCCCTCAAGAACTTCAACACCAATGAGCCTCCATGTTGCACCCAACCGGAGAAAAAAGAGCCCGTGATCAACCAAGCGGCTCGCGATCTTCTTTCCTTGGCATAATCAGCCAATGCTCTAGCTATTTCTCTAGAGTCTAGTTCTCCATTTTCCAGGACACATCTTCCAATGTGCCTGCCCAAGACCACAGCATCTTCAAGTGCCAAGCAACCGCCTTGTCCTAAGTCCGGCGTCATGGGGTGCATGGCGTCGCCAGCCACCGTGACGTTTTGGTTGCTTAAGTTCCCAAATGCTACATTCCATGGCTGCCTAAACACCAATGGAGCCCATGACAATGTTGAAAGATCAGAGTGCTTGACAATGTCTAGATATAGTTCAGGCAAGTCCTTGGCATAGTTCTCGATTACTTCTCTCTGTATTGCTATTGGATCTCCTTTGTATGCCCCTGCAATGAACACTGTTAAAAATAAGAAACTCGAAGAGTTAGTACTTGCTCAAGTCTTCCCTTTGAACTTGCCAAATGACATAAATAAAGGACTTTGGGTAGAGAAGTTCTTTCTAATGATAACTTCATCTATGCCCCCAAACTATGCGTGCTCTGTAAGCCATTGACACTCGAAATTCGTTTTATGACATTCACAATCCTTATATATATATATACATATACATATATATTTATGTATTTTGTTTCATTGTTGACCACTTATTTTGTGGTTATCATGTGGTGACTTCCATGCAAAATATGGCCATGAGCTTGAAGCAAAAGTAAAGTTTAAGGGCCAAAAATGCTAAAACGACATTCAAGGGCCAATGAGTTCCATTGACTTTTGTTTTGTGCTTCCAAAGCAGCCTTATTCTGCCCAAATTTTTGCCACATTTTTGTGGTCATGTGGTGAATTCTATCTAAACATTTTGACAGAATACCACTTTGAAGCATGGAATAAAATTTGGGAATAAAAGTGTGTCACAAACCTTATAGCTTAGGAGATAAATGACAAAACCCTAGTAAGTGGGCTAATATGTGCATTTTTGTGTGTGGTAATAAGTGGACTAATAATCTAATGTCATTAATTCTAGTAAGTGGGCTAATATGTGCTTTATTGTTGTGTGATAATCATTGGAGAGTTCACAATAAAATATAGAAAAAAAGTAAAAAAAAAAAAACTGGCATGGTTAAAACTTGTACCATTAGCTGGAGAAGCACAGTCAAGGGCCCAATAAATATCTTTATCAGTAAGGGGAGCAAAACCAGCCCTTAAGCCTGCACCAACAAACTGATAAACATCTTGCTTCACTAATCCATGGCCTTGTGGGAACGCTGCCAATCCGCGCACCGCTGATCGACCTGAATGGACCGGTGAAGCGAGCCCTAACCAGCTTGCCACAACAGAGTGCACCCCATCACAGCCTATCAAAACCTGAAAATTCCCAAGCAGGCCCAAAAATTAAAAATCTCTAAAAATGAGAAAGGAAAGAAAGGGGATTCTCAATCCATTTAAAAATTTACTTTTGCTTTGATGGAAGTTCCATCTTCCAAGTCAACAACCGCGATAGATGAACCTTCATGTGATTGGGTTTCAATGCCGGTGATCTTGCAAGAGAAGCGAATCGAGTTATTCGGCAATTCCTCTTCCAGAGCCTTGAGTAAGGCTTTTCTGTGTACTGCTCTGGTCCCTCCATTATGGCTTCACATAAAACATGACAAACGTTCAATTTGCTGGTTGAACTTTTACTAACTTGACAAGTTGCTTGCAGAGAGCCCACAAATTGATAAACGGCGTTACAATTTAGAAGGAAATGCCCTCATACACGTGACATGATGTGTTCTCATCGTCATCTGAACCTCGAGTGCTTTCCTTCAAATGATATCATGTAACATGCACAATGGCGTTTTTGTCTAAATTTTGATTGCCATCACCAATTTGAAGGCTCCTTAAATTAAATGAAGTTGCAGAGTGCCCAAAATTCGACGAACCATGTTACAACATAGAAGGAAATGCCCCCATGCATGTGACGTGACATGCTCTGGTCGCCATCTGAACTTTCAGTGTTTTCCTTCAAATGATTTCATATAATGCATACAAGGTCGTTTTCATCCAAATTTTAATAGTCGTCATTGATTTGGGGCCATTATGCAACACTTAATTAAATTCATAAATAGTTAACAAAGTTAAAAGGTTTAAGTTGTAACTTGTCAATCATAAAAAATTCAAGGGACAGATGTACCAAACACCATAGAAAAAATTAAAAATATGATTTAAAACAAAAGACAGATCTATTGGACACTGTACACTTACCCATTGGTTTCAGGATAAGAGATTTCTTGAACTGCACCATTGCCCAAGTTGGTAACGTATCCCCTAATAAAAACACCAACCGTGTTCACATAAGTATTTGATTTCACTAAGCAGCCAAAAAAAAAAAATCACTAATTTCAAATAAGCACCAAGGTCATGAAGATCTCTAGTCAATATGTGTATATGTGTGTGATATATATATATATATATATATATATATAACAAAACATCAAGTTAGATATACGGTCATGTTATGTTTTGTTCATGCCAAGGACACATGGTATAAACAAAGCAGTAGTACGAGTACTACCACCAGTGGTGGCAATATTGTGGTAAGAATGTCCTAGAGCCTTCACTTCTTTTCACCCAAAGTTCGATTCACGACACTTTTGCAAACGTTTGCCTTTTGGCATAGAATATATATGTATTAGTGGACTTTGTGAATTTTGGGCTGATAATTGTCAAAGGCTGAGAGCCATGATCCTTATGATCATCCCACAAGGGGTCCTAACAGATTCTTTCTAATAGGCGTTAGCCATTGGATCACGGTATGAAGACACAACTAATTCTTCTTTTTATTCATAAAAAAAAAATACTAGTACTTGGAGCATTTTACCATTTGTTGCGTCAATTCGAATCACAGCTCAAGTTTTTGCTGAGTGTTTTTTTTCACAAAAATTTAAATTCAACCTTTTCAGCTACAATGTTTTCTCTCACATGAATTTCACTTCTTAACTTGAATTAGCGAAACAAACGAAAGACATACTTTTTCGTGGGGCCATAGATGGACGTAAGTGTAGTGACCAAGAAAAATCCCATAATTTTAATAATATAATTCATGTATTCAAGTCAAGGATTTTCCTGGAAAATCATTATATTATGTACATTTTGTGATTGAAGGATTTAAGGAATTAACATCTGCATTCCTAAATTCTGTAACAGATTTCACGTTTAGTTCACAATTTTTCGATCAAGTAAATTCGATCGATAAATTCTCACCGTACTTTAAAACGGAAGAATTTCTAGTACAGATACAGCTTGAGAACATTAATTTTAAGAATTTCCAAGCACAATACAAACTAGCATCCAGTACCCGCATACAAGAGAAAATAGCTGTCAGTAAAATTTTGGACAGTTTAATGAGTAAATTTAGAAAGTAAACAAAGGTACAAGGGTTAGGTTTCATTTTTCTCTTTCCTTCCTTCACTTGGCCGGCCAAACTTAAGGGATTATGGCCAAAAATTTGGCTAGTGAAGTGTGCTACATGGACTTCATGATGGGATTGAGTCAAATCAACTATTGGACATGAAATGCTACATCACCCCCTCTTGAAACACTCCACCGGCCAGCCACAATAAAAGGGGGGGATTAATCCACCGGCCAAGATTGGGGGAAATTGAACCAAAATTTGGTTGATTGAGAGAGTTGGTGTGGTGTTAAAAAAATAATTTGCAAGTGCCTATAAAAGGAACCACCATAGGATAAGCCTCATTTTTTTTCCCTAGCTTTTCTCTCCCCCTCAAATTCTGGCCATACCATGCTCCTCCACTCTTTCTCAAATATTTTCTCCTACTCTCTCAATCTTGAGCCACTACAAACCATAGAAGAAGAAGAAGGAGACCAAAGGGTCTAGGAGGAGTCTAGACAAGCATTTTTTTCAAAGGGTATAACTCTAAATCCTTTTTTTATGTTTTAGTAAAGTTTGAAATGTAGAAATATTCCTCTTAAATTTCCTTATACTTTCTAGCTCCAAGCCAATAACAAATCTTAGAGGAGTTCAAGGTTTTTCAAGGGAGAGAGAGAGAGTTCTTCAAGGGTAAGTTCTCAAATTCTTCTCCATTTATTTCTAGCCGACTTTGAGCTTGGATTTGTGGATATAAATTTGAGGTTCTTGAGAAGATGAGTTGTAATAAGGGTGTGTGAGTTTTATGTTGGTTTTGTGAGTTTTGAGGTTAGCTTGATGTGGTATGTTTATGCTTGATTTAAGTTGCTTATTTTCAGATTAGAGGAAAAATTTTCCGGTGACTTTGACCGCAAAAATGAGGGCCATAGAGTGAGATTTTTCAATGTTTTAAAGCTTGAACTTATAGCCCTGGATGTGTTGAACAATTTCGGTTACTATGACTAAACCTAATTTTAACTCCAAAACCAA